TGGGAACTACTCAGAGTTGTGAGTTGTGGCTACAAATTTGGGCAAGGCGTCGTTGCCTGTCAATTTAGTATAGTATTCAGGTTGCAGGGGTCGCACGCAATCCAAGATTGAGGGTCAACGACTTTTTTCGGACGACCCTGGTCTCCGCAGGAAGTGGAGACAGCAGCTTAGTGTCTTATTTTGGGTTGAAACAGTTGCCACCTGAAAACACACAATGAAACACACATGCAGGACTCAGGGCTGTGGGTTTGGAAGGTTTGGAGCTTAAGAGGGGCTTTAACGTCGGGATTGAAGCCTCCAGGTTTTTACGCAGTGCCCCACGTGTCTGCCAGGCCAATTTGTATATGGATGTTGGGACGCCACACCGATCGAGGCAAGGCAGCTACAAGTTTGCATATGGATGTTGGGACGCAACACCGAGGCAAAGCGACTGCAGCTACGACTATGTGTGGACATAGAACGTCCTTTCACAATCAAGCGGTTGCAAAAAACTCTACTGAACCCCTGAGTGTCATGGTGAGCGCTTGTGCTTTGAGCATGAACAACTTTTTGGACGCACACTGCCTTGCAAATCGAGCAAACGTGACGAGGCAATGTTCATCAGCCGACTACACGACATGACACTACAAAACACTACAACCGGCACTTCCCCTGGCTGACACTTACTGGCAGTGGTTGGGATGCCAGCAAAGCAGGACAAAAAAACCCGAAGCCCCTGAAAATCTGCTGACCCCAGGCCCTCCCAGCAGAATGCATGGGTAGGCGCCATGGGCATCGAGCAGCACGGGCTTGCACATTCATCTGAACGTGAGCCGAAGAGCAACGACACTGCTCAGTGCTTTTGGGCTGCGCCTTCCGCCACACTTGCAGCAGGTGGAGCCGGTGGAGCTGCTGGAGCAGCAGGAGGCGGCTGCTTTGCAGCAACATCCGCTGCCGGCTTGGCCTTGGCCGCTGGCTTTCCCTGCTCTTTCTCACTTGGCTTGGCCTTGTCTTTGTCACTCACCATCAAAGTATGGATCTGCTTCATTCTGTCAGTGTTTTGACCCCGCGCTGCAACGATCTTCATGAACAACTCGTAGTCATCTTTGCTGGATCTGAGCATGAAGGATTTCCGCACACCGAACAGGTGGACTGATGGATTTGCAATCTCCGCCACCACCCAGCCCATTGGGACAAAGAGCAACTCACCTTTATGCTGCGTCGTTTCGAGGATGTTAACCCCGGACTTGCACAAGTCCATCAAACCCGCGGCATCGAGCCCTTGCAGATGCCCCAGGGCCGACGGGAGATCGTGCTCTGACTCAATGACTTTGGTCTTGTAAAGAACTCCAAGCAAGTCCTTTGCACGCACAAAGATGTGACGAACCTCTCCACTCACCAGCAACTTCATCATGCAGCTATGGTTCGGGAGAACGCCGACGGCTTTGAGCTCTGCCGCAGAGCCATAAAGCCAACATGCGGACATGAAGCCAGAGCCACCGGGGACACTTGAAACGTCTGTGATGTCATCCTTCTTCGTGAGGCTTTCAAACAACTTGGCCATGACTTCTTTCCCCTTGCCTTCCTGCATTGCCACGGTGACTGTGTCCAATTTGGCTTGTATCTGCATCCTCTTGTACTGCGCTCCCCACGCAGTCAAGCTTTTCTGCGCAGCCGCATCGCCCAAGGCCTCAGTCAAGGCGTCATGTTTCTCGGCCAGCTTCCACGGCGATCTCCAAATGTCCTCCCTGCCGCTGGCTAAATCCGCTGCAGCATAGGTGCCGACTCGCTCAAGAGTGTCAACTGAGGCCGTGAAGAGACTGGGGATGGGAGCCCCAGCAGCCTTCCTGCTCTTGATCTCCGCGACCTTCTCTGTTGCTTCCATCCTTGCTTTCTTGAGTGCTTCCTTTTCATCTTGGCTTTGCTTTCGTTTCTTCTGGCGCTTGTCTTCCATGACCATCGACTTCAAGTGTTTCACCACATCGTCGCAACTGACCTTGGTGCCCTTGATGCACAGCTGGATGGCCTTCTCAGCATCTTGCCACGTTTTTTTGCTTTGGAGAAACTCCTCAGCCGTAGCACAATCCAAGACTGTCTCCTGCACGTGACGCAGAGAGTCCAATGTGCAGAGGCCGTCCCCTTCCCAAAACTTCTGGGAGGCGACAAACTCCTGAGCCAGAAAGTCCTTGAAGTCCATTTTCATGGACTGCGCAGCCGCCTTGTTCAATTCCTCTTGCGTGAGCCCTGTCATCGCTGAACCAGGTGACGACGGGTTTGCAACACCCTCTGCAGCAGACGCCTGTCCATCAGGCACCAGCTTAGTGATTGCGTCAGCCGCACCAGCCAAACGAGCAATCACCTCAAAGCGAAACTGGTAGATCCGCAAGAACTGCAAGGCGGCTCGATCCTTGCTCTTCAGCTCCGAGGGATGCTTCTGCCAAGCCTCTTGGACTTGCGACATCGTCCCCAGTTGCTTGGCCAATTCGTTACGCAGCTTGTTCATCCCCGTCTCCATTTGCCGGTGCAGCATGGGGCGCTCACGAGTTAAGTTCACTTCCTTGGTCTTCTCAGGTGTCACGAGCACTTCCTCCGTCGGGCCAGGAGCAGAAGGCTTCGACTTCTTAGGCGTCACTTGATGAACATCCTTGTGTTGCTCATCAGTCATGTTGAACAGATCGGAGCCGAAAGTCATGTCTTGTCGAGTCAGATGCTTGGCCAACATGTTACGGGTCTCCGTGCTCGGTGCCTTGATCTGATCTGAAGACTCAACGGCCTGATGATCGCGGTAGTGCTCTCTGGCTTTCAGCCTCATTTTGTGCGCTGGCACCCAGAGCTGCTCTGCGCCTTTAAACCCGTCATTGTCGCGTGCAATGAGAGGGTTGTTGTAGAACTCTTTCCAGTACCTGGCAGCAGTGAGATAGATACAAGAAACACAACACAGGGTCTACAGGCTTAAATCGTCACAGGTAGCATGTATCAGCACAGACAAGCACATTGCACCGACAAGCTGAAACTCATGACTCAAGTAACTGGAGCAGCAAGTGTTCATGAGCACAAGCCTTGCGTGCAACCCAGCTGCTCTTTGGCTTCCTCGGCCTCGAGGCCCAGCACATTGTCGCAATGACGATAGAACGCCCTCTCGGTCATTGGCACATCGCCTGCCTCGTCCTTCGCGCTGAGCCTGTGTCCTACGATCCGCCTGAACTGGGCGAAGTCTACAAGGGCTTTGCGTTTTAGCTCAGGTGGGTTGTCTCGGCTGAAATCCAGGACGGCTTTCCCGGCCACATCGTCACTTTTCATGGCCTCGTCAAAGGCGGTCCGGTCTTCCTCAGAGAGATCCTTCCTTGTTCGGCGTTGGTACAGCATATTGTCCCAACCCTTCTTATGGTCCCCCTCAGCGCAGAACCGGGAACCTGCATACTTCGGAAAAATACATCCAGGGCAGATGCACATGGTGATGGGTTGTCTCTTGCCACCACCACCAGCCTTGGCCTGGGCTTTGGCTTTCGGACCACGCCCCCTGCCTCGTCCTCTCGCCTCAGCAGACTGCTTTGGGTCTGAATCGACCGCCATGGACAAGTTTTCCTCGCCGAGGAAATCCGTATCCATCCCGAAATCAGCCATCGACGTCGGTGGCGTCCTGGGGCGCACTTGAAAGCAAAGCAGCAGATGAAGCCCACGAAATCCTACGAGTCAGGGTATCGAGTTGAGCCAACCACGACATCACACAGAAGCTAGACTGGCGCAGACACTTGCTTGTCCTAACTTAACATGCAGACAACGCGGCATGACAATGTTTGACAGAAGTCGGGGGATGCAAGCACGCACTTGTACCTTTTCCAGACCCACGAAAGCCCAAGCATCAAGGAACAGAAGCATCACCAGTTCCTGAGCTGCCCAACACAAGCTCGCAAACATGAGCCGGTACCATGTCGGAGTCAGGTTGACTACTAGTTTTTCCCACCAAATACAACTACTAGGACTACTAGGACTACTGAGTGAGTACTGGATGATCCAAGAGTCAAGAAAGTTGAGCACGCTCCACTTCCAGCCACGTTGCCTTGGCAGGTTGCGTCTGTTTCGAAACGACCCACTCAGTATGCGGTGCCCAGTCTTATCATGGGCTTTGGACAATGGATATATGTGAGCAAGCTGACAAAGTGGCCAACAATCTCACAGGCTGCAGCTCCCGTGTGCTGCTGAGTGCCGGCACATGAGAAGCGCCAGCACGATCATCAGGAAGCAGGTCCTAGCAGTTCCGGGACGGTCCTATGACACAAGCACAGCACCTGTCAACATTTCAATTGAAACGAACTGCGGGCCTGAGTAGGCCACAGACTCATCCATGATGCACCTCCCTCAAGTTCTTGGGATTTCTTGAGTGCAGCTTCAGCATGAACAGGTCAAAGAGACACATGGGACCGGAGCCAGAACACTGCAAAGTGCACTCGGCAAGAAGAGCGTACTTGAACAACGTAACACAGATACTTTGGGCCAGTGAGCACAGAGCAGCGTACTGGACTGCAGAGCTAGGAATAAGCTCAAGTGGCTTCAGCAACAGCAACTTGTAATAACTCGCAATCCACGGACTTTTAAAGCCGATTCAAAGCCTTCATCACGCTGCATGCTCCTCTTCAGAAACATCGGACAAACAGACGGGCGGCGCACATGGAGTGGGAGTTTCCCTGCGCACGGTGTTGGCAAAAACATATAGCTTCCAAGCCAATATCGCAGGAAGGCTTTGGGAGTTACCGCTCAGACAATGCTGCACCCT